GGTAACTCCTAGATGAATAGGTTGGCAAAATGGCCTGACCTGAACTCTTCAGAGAAACTGTGGGGGAATGTCAATAAGAAGAAGAGAGACAACAGATCAAAAAACACAAAGGAGCCGAACGTTGCTATTAAAGCAACCTTTAATACCTTCAAGAATAAAAGAAAACCTGATCAAGCACTCAATGGTTTTATAGCGCCATTTATGGGCATACTTCTAAGCATGTATCTAACTTCTACCTTTTATTGCCCTTATATAATACTTTTTTGTTTGTTTTCACTAGCTGTGACATATCATAATCAAAGATCAGAAGTAAATATAAATTGTATCCCCCTATGTATAGTAAATATATTTGATAGAGTTTTAGCTTTTTTAATCAAATTACTGAAAATACAAATTTTCAACAAAGTTCTAACCTGCTTAGATGCACTTATATCAGTGGGCTCTTTTATTTGGAAAACATAAGGAAGAAGAGTGTCTTTATGCTCTAAAGACGTGAGTGCTCTGAACCATAATGCAGCCTGCTGATATCTGACTGCTGTGAGGTATTGCAAGATGATGCAAGATTGACATCTAGTGGTTTGAGGTACAAAGCACACAGTAGTGAGATCATCCAGCGATTATGATCTCTGCTTTATACTTGTTTATTCATTGCAATTGGTATAAGAAACTGTGGAATTAATGTAATGTTGAATGAATATAATGTCGATTGAATTTTTATTCTTTATTGGAGTAATAAGAAATCATATGAGAGCAGGAACAGGAAATTCCTGGCCTTGAAAATGAGAACAAATTACTTTGTATCTATATCTGCAGTCACCTAAAGCTGCTCAGTGTAATAAATCATTATATTTTGCATGACCTCAGATGTTGCTGGGGAAGACTTTGCCATGCAAATTTGAGGTGAAATGATTAATTGCTAGCTAGTAAAGAGCTTTTGTTCCATCTGAAAATTGTGTTCATTTTCTATGTTTCTATTAAAATATCTGCCATTCAGTAGAATAAATAAGGTGGTTATAACCTGGATACACTTTGGTGTGAGATAAGGACTGTTAAGGACGACTACAGTCTGGATGAGCGAATATTTAATCCTCAAATACAAGCTAGTGGGTCCAGGAGCAGATGGGTCTGGACCATAACAGCACTAGCACAAAAATTGTCTGAGGGTGGTCTCTGGCAGCAGCATCTCTCATATGAGAGTCCAGCTCATCTATCTATCTATCTATCTATCTATCTATCTATCTATCTATCTATCTATCTATCTATCTATCTATCTATCTATCTATCTATCTATCTATCTATCTATCTATCTATCTATCTATCTATCTATCTATCTATCTATCTATCTATCTATCTATCTATCTATCTATCTATCTATCTATCTATCTATCTATCTATCTATCTATCTATCTATCCATCCATCCATCCATCCATCCATCATCATCTATCTATCTATCTATCTATCTATCTATCTATCTATCTATCTATCTATCTATCTATCTATCTATCTATCTATCTATCTATCTATCTATCTATCTATCTATCTATCATCATCATCTATCTATCTATCTATCTATCTATGCCAGATTATATCTGTCAGAATGTCTGTAACTGACTCTAAATCTGTCTGTATTATTGAATTATAGAATTTATTTTATTTATCTTTTTTGTTTGCAAATATCTTTATTGAGTTATTATTTAAATTCACTAAACTGAATTTATTTCTTGTGCCTTTAGGGGTAAAAATAAAAACAACCTTGCGGGATATAATCTGCACTTTGGGCTTTTAATAAAACTTCGGTAAACCCTCAGAGTAGAAACTGTTAGGTTAGGCACCGAGAAGATTTCAAGAAACTTGAACTACTTATTATATGTCACTTTTTAGTAGATCCGTAAAAATTAGGTCAAGTAAAAGTAAAAACACTGCCTTGTTTTCTTTCACCCAGTTCACCTAACCAGGTGATTAGCTCCCAGTTTGTGTCATGGAGCTGGAAATGCAAAAGGTTCAAACTAATCTCTGTATAGAGGTTTTACCTTCTGGATCTAGATTATCTGGAGTATCACCTCTGGTTTTTACATATCAATAAAAATGTGTGAATGTGACTGGATTAATGTAAATGTATCTTTGTCTACTTGTCAGGTTGAGAATTTGCCTCCCCTCACCTACTGGAACATCCTAGGACCCCAATATGAGAATTGCCTGTCTCTTCCCCCTTCTTACGCTCCCCGCTGATACGAGGTGCCTGTGTTTGCTGCTGCACTGATTGTTCTCTAGGTGTGGAGTTTGGTACTCGAGTGGGCACTGTCTCATTCCTGGTGGCTGCCAGGCCAGGCTGGGCCTCCGTGCCCTGTTGGGTCCCCACTGGGGGGTTCAATCCCCAGTGCAAACTTTTCATCCACTGATGTAGAAGTATCATGTGAACTTTGCAATGTGTAATGCACACACCTCTTATCGTACATCTACAGTGATAATAATTCACTGTCTGAATATTGGGCTGTTGGATTGATGGTATGTCAGAATAAGGCTTGGACCCTGTTTATTAGTAGAAGTAGACTAGTTCTTTTTAAACATTGTGCCATTACTATAAAAACTACCCCTCAAGAGAGGAATCTAAAATACATTTTTCATGTGATCCAGTAACTTTTGCATGATTAGTGCATAGAGCTTGGAATCCTGAGGTTGTGAGTTCAACACCCACTCCCACGGACTGCCACTCTGGGTCCCTTAACCCCCGATTGCTCCCTGGGCGCCCCACGATGGCAGCCCACTGCTGGGTTAAATGCAGAGGTAAATTTCTCCAATGTGAGATCAATAAAAATCAATTATTATTATGAATGTGCAAAAATATACAATAGATAGAACCTTACAGGTGCTGGTCATAAAATTAGAATATCATGAAAAAATAGATTGATTTCAGTAATTCCATTTAAAAAGAGAAACTTGTATATTATATTCATACATTACATACAAACTCATATATTTCAGATGTTTATTTTGTTTAATTTTGATGATTACAAATGACAACAAATGAAAATCTCAAATTCATCATATCAGAAAATTAGAATATTACTGAAGACCAATAAAAACAAAGGATTTATAGAAATGTTGGCCAACTGAAAAGTATGAACATGAAAAGTATGAGCATGTACAGCACTCAGTATTTAGTTGGGCCTCCTTTGGCCTGTATTACTGCAGCAATGCGGCGTGGCATGGAGTCGATCAGTCTGTGGCACTGCTCAGGTGTTATGATAGCCCAGGTTGCTCTAATAGTGGCTTTTAGCTCTTCTGAATTGTTGGGTCTGGTGTATTGCATCTTCTTCTTCACAATACCCCATAGATTTTCTATGGGGTTAAGGTCAGGAGAGTTTGCTGGCCAATTAAGAACAGGGATACCATGGTCCTTCAACCAGGTACTGGTAGCTTTGGCACTGTGTGCAGGTGCCAAGTCCTGTTGGAAAATGAAATCTGCATCTCCAAAAAGTTGGTCAGCTGCAGGAAGCATGAAGTGCTCTAAAACTTCCTGGTATGTGGCTGCGTTGACCCTGGACCTCAGAAAACACAATGGACCAACACCAGCAGATGACATGGCACCCCAAACCATCACTGACTGTGGAAACTTTACACTGGACTTCAAGCAACGTGGATGAAGTGCCTCTCTTCTTTTCCTCCAGACTCTGGGACCTTGATTTCCAAAGGAAATGCAAAATTTACTTTCATCAGAGAACATGACTTTGGACCACTCACCAGCAGTCCAGTCCTGTTTCTCTTTAGCCCAGGCAAGACGCTTCTGACGCTGTCTGTGGTTCAAGAGTGGCTTGACACAAGGAATGCGACAGCAGAAACCCATGTCTTTCATACGTCTGTGTGTGGTGGTTCTTGAAGCACTCACTCCAGCTGCAGTCCACTCTTTGTGAATCTCCCCCACATTTTTGAAGGGGTTTTGTTTCACAATCATCTCCAGGGTGCGGTTATCTCTCTTGCTTGTACACTTTTTTCGACCACATCTTTTCCTTCCCTTCGCCTCTCTATTAATGTGCTTGGACACTGAGCTCTGTGAACAGCCAGCCTCTTTAGCGATGACCTTTTGTGTCTTGCCCTCCTTGTGCAAGGTGTCGATGGTCGTCTTTTGGACAACTGTCAAGTCAGCAGTCTTCCCCATGATTGTGTAGCCTATAGAACTAGACTGAAAGACCATTTAAAGGCTTTTGCAGGTGGTTTGAGTTAATTAGCTGATTAGAGTGTGGCACCAGGGGCCATCAATTTTGAACCTTTTCACAATATTCTAATTTTCTGATATGATGAATTTGAGATTTTCATTTGTTGTCATTTGTAATCATCAAAATTAAACAAAATAAACATCTGAAATATATGAGTTTGTATGTAATGTATGAATATAATATACAAGTTTCACTTTTTAAATGGAATTACTGAAATCAATCTACTTTTTCATGATATTCTAATTTTATGACCAGCACCTGTATATTTGTTAATATTTAAGCTGAAAAAAAAGCAGAAATAGCTGTGATTTCTGGCAGCAAAATCATTGTATGCCAGTCAGAAGAAGGAATATAGCACAAATGGGTCAGCTATTTCCATTCCAGTAAACACAGAAGCCCGAAATACTCTGAAAGTTACACAATGAATAAAAAAACAAAAAACAGATGTGTATGTTAAAGTATTCGATTTGAACGAGAAAAAAAATATGGACGTACACGAGGTAAATAGTTCTGTGAGTAAAACCATATCAGGACTTGATATTAGTTATTTTATATCGGCTTTTCGAGGAGGGTGCTTTTTATTGCGAGCAAAATTACCCGGGTGCATTTTTCAGCACAACACTGGCGCAACTCTCCAACCAGCTCAAACCTTAGAGGGACGAACCACCGGAAACAACCTGCCTTCACTGTGATGGACAGCTTCAACCAACCAATCACAAGCAGACTTTCTCATTCCCATTAGCCAATCGTATTGCTAGAATCCATACATATAATTTACGGCGCAATCAAGGTAGGTTGAGGGCACTTAGGGTCCATAGAAATTTGACAGCTTCACAGGTGAGACACTCGTCAAGAGGCTGTTTCACTTTACGTTTCGGTTTTCTTTCTCCCTGGAACTCCACTCACTGTGAGCCTGGGGTTGTCACATTCAAAAAACAACCTTTCGAAGTCTTATCACGCCGGCAGCATGAGCAAAAAGAAAAAGGACTGGAAGACTGAAAAAGGTAAGGGTTGTTTTGGAGGTGGGTAATGTGGCTATCCCCTCCACGCCACACAGCATGAATAAAAACCGGAACACTGAAAGGTGCATTCTCTGTTTTCTGCTTTAATAACTTATTTTCTAGACTGTTCTGTTCATCCCAGACTGATGCTGCACAGCTGTTACTGTTGCGCCTCTGCTTCACAATGCATGCTTGACATTCGCAGCAGCACCTCTCACTGCTCCTTGCCTCTCCATTTGCTTAAAATTTGGCCGCTCACATAGGTTTTCGTTATTTTTCAGCACGTAAATGACAGTCACTAACTAGTATTTCCTGTTTTTTACCTGTGTCGTGCAGCAGCATTAGCTCAGTGAGGTGCAAGCAGTCCATTCCGGGAATATAAATGCCCTTGCAACCACAAAAGGCTGTCATCTGTCGTTTACAAACAGAAGCAGTCTTCTAATTAAACAATGGTCTTAATCTATAGCAAGGATAGAAAAATGCCGTATTATCTGTGTTTGAGGCGCAGAGGAAATGTTTTGTGTGGTGGTTCTTTGAGAGTAAGGACTATGGGACCTGTTGCCTATCAAAAAAGGAACCAGACTGCTGCCAGGTTGATATTAGTTTATTGACCTATTCACACCATAATGATCTTTCATTGCACATCTGTTCTTGCTGTATAATATGTGTGTAAATAACCATTCATTAGGTCTGCATGCACCCATGCCACCATCCATGAATGTCACAGAGATAACATTGGTAAGGTTGTATTAAACATGCAATAAGTTGCAGAAACAATTACAGTAAAAATGAAGAAAAAAATAATGGGTGGTATCTATCGCCTTTTGTTTTTTTAAGTGTTTTCCAATAATAGTATGTTCAGTTTCAATTTGGTTTATTTCTATAGCGCCAATTCACAACACATGTCATCTCAAGGCACTTTACAGTTCACCAGATTATACAGTTAAATTAATTCAAAGTTTTCTATTTAAGGAAAACCAGTTGATTGCATCGATTCATTGACTCAAATGCAATCCCTCACACTAAGCATGCTTGTAGCGACAGTGGAGAGGAAAAACTCCCTTTTAACAGGAAGAAACCTCCAGCAGAACCAGGCTCGGTGTGAGTGGCCAGCTGCTGAGCCCGACTGGGGTTCAAGGAGACAGAAGCAGAGATACAAAAAGCAACTGTAAAAGGCGGCCCAGTCCAGAAAACGCACAGCTCTGAGCCAACCCCCATGTTAGAGGATGAAGAGAACACATCCAGCCAGTCAAAGTCAGAGAAACAGGACTACACTGGAAAAACAGGCCGATCTCCAACATCTATAAACAAAGGTGTTGATGGCAGCAGCACAGCTGATATTTCTCTCCACAGCCAAACAGGAACAGATGTGATCAGCTCTTCAGATTCAGGCTGGATCATTTCCTATTTTTATAAAATAAAGCTCAAGCCCAGACCGATTTGATGGAGAGAATTTGCTTAAAGTATTTTTTCAATTTTTTTTGCCACAGATATTCATTTTAATATAGTCCTTGACTCTAACCGGTTAAATATGACTGACCTTTGATCTAAATATTTCTATTCTAGCTGTGGCTGTATGATTAGAGGTGCTATCCTGCTGCTCTGACACAGACTCCTAACGGATCTATCAGAATCATCCTGTATTAAGCTTCATCCATCGTCCCGTTATCTCTGCCACGCTTCTTCATTTCTTGTTGCTGCCACCACCATGTTTTAGTTCTGTTATACTGTGTAATAAGGTGATTAGCAGTAGGTTTTCCACCACACGTAGATCAGAAAGATTTAACAACTAACAAAACCCACACTTTCTTTGACTCTGGACAAAAAAATGTGTTTCCTTCTAAGTTATTTTGAGAAATACTGTAAAATCAGATTTGATGCCACAATCTGTTCTTATTTTTTTCACTATGTCGTTAAAAGGCGTCCGCAGTACTAAGGTGACTGATTTCTTTATTCAAAACTATGGTCCATAAACCCATATAGGTCTTATATGGCTTCATACTTCATAAAATACATATAACGCCAAATACCTGTCATGGTAGCTAAACTTTGAAATTTGTCAGTGATGAACTGCTAAACCTAGTGACGGAGTGTTTTACTGTAGTCCAGAAAGCATTGCTGTGTTCAGCTGCTATTTTTTATTCATCCATGTAGAATAAAAGCAGCTGTGGAAATGGAAAAATAAGAGCTGGTGATGAGGAAAGAAAGAAAGAACATAAGAGATAAAACAGATAGCGTGCTTTGCTGTAATACTTTAAATGTACGACTGGATGACTGCGAGATCTCGCCGAAGGGTGACCTGAATAATATTTTGCTTTCAATCAAATTAAGGGTCTTGCCAACTATCACATCATCACAGATTTATTCACATTTGATCGTTCTGTTTTTTTCACAGCACCTTGAAAAAGTATTCTCAACCTCTAGAACCTTTCTTTTCCCCCCTTAGTTTTTTTCTCAGTTTTTCTTGTTATGCAGGGGTCAGCAGCCCAAACTGCTCAGAGAGCCATATTGGACCAAAAATGTAAGTCTTATATATGCCTAGTATGGCAACACGGGCTCTAAGTGTATTCGCCCACTAAAAAAAAGGACTACATGGGCTGAAATATATAATAAGCATTCATGATTAAATGTTTATCCTGGATCAAATGGTACATAGCAGCATGAGGTGAGTGAGGAGCAGTGAACGCTCTCACCGCGTGCCACTTCACCATGCAGTTTAGGTTTTGTTGCATAGATGAAATGATAGAAACACGATAAAGGAAACTTTCTATGATGGACATGTTTCTGTTGGGAGGAGTTGATTGAGTCACGAGGAACCAAGCAGGAAATGACATCCATCAGATCAGTGCTCTCTAACCCCGAAATCTCACATCCTCCGTCACCTGTGATCCTTGCTGTGATTTATATTTTTAGGATTTGGGGGGAAAAAAATAGAAGAAAGTTCCCATACCTGCATCAGAGCGCTGTTTGATCTGTGGACGGTTTTCCATGCTTGCATCTATGTTTGCGCTCCTCTAATTTATCCAGAAGTGCTGCAGTCACACTTTCTCTCTTGCTCCCAACTTTGTAGTCGGCTGCATATTTAACCTTCCCTGGAAATGCTTTTCCGAATTACTCTTTTTATTTTTTTTGACAACTTCTAATTACACAGCAAAAATGCAGGCAATCCTTCCGCATTGATAATGAAAGCAAATGATTTGGTCCATTTTTCTTTGAATCATCAGTTCTCATCAGCTATCTTCCTTTTTTCCCCTTTGGGATCCATGGTCCGAGACACACCCGCCGCTTTGTTTGCCTGGCACCGCGCCACGCTGAAACATGTGTTGCAGGCTATGACCACTGATCTCTATGGCTATGATGCAAATTTTTGTTGAAAGAAATGGTTACATTTATTGTTTAAAGGTATTTATTCTACGAATGTTTACTGGAAAACACATTGAATGTTTGTTTGAAGTCCTGGACACCATATTAACATAAACAAAAAAAGCTCTAGGGAGCCACAAGAGGCGCGCTAAAGAGCCACATGCGACTCCGGAGCCACAAGTTGCCGGCACCTGTTGTAATGGAACAATGCAAATCTGAATATATTTGAAGGATTGTCTTATACAGTAAAAATTCTGGTAGGCCTTTCTATTTATATATATATATTTTCTACTAACTGACAAAACAAATGGCAACCAATGCAGGCAATTACCCCAGAAGTCACCTAGTTAGGATGTGAAGTCTACCTGTGAGTAGTTTGATCTTTGTTTGAATCCAGGTGTTCTCTGGAGGCATCAGAGCTTTGTTAAAGAGCATCATTAATCAAACAGTATGAAGAACAGGATACATTAGGATGTTATTGAGAGTTTCCAACCTCCCAAGCTTTAACCTCCCAAGCTTTAAAATGTTTCCAAAGCACTGATTAGGTTCTCATTAGGAAATTGAAGGTTGGGGCACAACTGAAAACATACAAGAGCATAGTAAATAGAGAGGCTGGATAAACATGGCACTAATCAGCAACTTGAGTCCTACGGGAGCTATAGGTGGATCAATATCTTGGCATGACATCTATTAGTTGTTAATTTCACAAATCTAACCTTTGAAAAAGACCTGGAAGAAGAAAGACCTCAGCCTAAAGAAGTCTTGTCTACAGTTAACCTAAAAACTGAATACACATCACCCTGAGTGCCCTCTCCCTGCAGTGAAACATGGTGGTGGCAGAATCATGCTGCACAGATGCAGGGAATGTAGTTACTGTAGGTTGTTATGAAGAAAGATTGAGCAACATACAAGGCAGTCATTAAAAAAAAACCTGTTGAAGGCTCCAGAATAAGAAGGGGTTGGGGATGAGTTTTAACTTTCATTAGAAGGACAGCTCCAAATATACAAGACAGTAGTTTAGATCAGTGGTTTTTCAGCTTGTTAGGGTTAGAAATGACCTTTCTTGACTAGGTGAAACCAAAATAAACAGTATTATATTGTCAGGTTTACTATCAATTACTATCAATCATTTCTAACTCAGTATATTGTTTTCATTCATTAAATAAAAAAGTGTAACAAAAGAAGTATGTTCAATAAACTTAAATTATAAAACGTTACCTAAAATTTCTGTTAATTGAGCTGTAAGCAACAATACCCTTAAATAAAATGATTCCCTTTTCCAGTCATTTCTTATTGGCCATGTTTTTAACTGCAAAAAGGGTTACAAAAGTCTGGAGATATATTACACCAGACAACAAGTGTTTATAGGCAATATCTATTCTGTATTTTGTCTTCAGCTGAACCAGAGCAGGGATAGTAATCCCCCCTAACAGATTGGTGCTGAATGGTTGGAGCCGTAAGGCCAATTTATGCTTCTGATGTATAGCCTCTGCAACTGTAAAATCTGTCTCTGTGCGACCACGCCCCCTGCACAGAGGTTCTGCAACCATTATCGTGCACCTCAAAAATATCCTGACTACGCCTTGGACGTCGCAAACCCACGCAGACCTCAAGCGGAAGTGCACAGACAAAAAGCAGCTGTGATTGGTCCTTGGTATGCCTTTCCGGCTGTCTGTCCTTCTCGATTCAGTGTTGGGGCGCCCCATTTTTAAAAACCGAAGAACAACTACAATGCACAACCTACGCAACGTCCTTTGTCTTTTTGCCAACTCCATTAACAGAACCTGTTCCTCTTCGATGTGTAGCAACTCTAGATCCATCTCCGTGAGCGTAATATCGTGCCATTGTTGTTTTGGAAGATAGACATTCCCGCCGGAGCCGCCGAAGTTCTCACGAGTTCTCCAATAGGCTCCCCCTTGTGCTTTGGCAGGAAACTGCTGTGCGACCCTAGAAATTCCAGAACGATAGTGCAGAAACATACCAGAAAACTGGTTCGCGACCAGAGCCTGGCGTCATTTGATGTGTGGGTTGCAGAAGTCTAATCTGCCCTTTAGAGGTAGAGGAAGAATACACACAGAGGATTTCCCTACGAAGTTTTAAAATTATAAAGATATATGCTACACCAGCCTACTCCCTTTGGTGATGCTATCCATGTTTATTTTACAGGTATAATCAGAGATGGCAAAAGTACTCACTTTCCGTACTTGAGTAAAAGTACAGATACTTGTGTTAAAAAATACTCTGGTAAAAGGGGAAGTACTGATTAGACTTCTTTACTCAAGTAAAAGTAACAAAGTACAGGCTTGTAAATTTACTTAAAGTATAAAAGTAAAAGTATAAACCACTTTTTTCCTGCCGTTGCCTACATTTTAAATGGATGTCTGCCAATACGACTAGATCTCCGTTGTGTTCATTTTCAATCATCGCCATCGCCACCGCCACCAAGCTGCAATGATTTGCCGCGAATGAATACCGCCGAATCTGTCGATTCATCTTGTAGTGGTGCATCAAATGCAACGTAGATTCTCATCCAATTAGATTGAATTTGGTATTGATGACGTGAAAAATAATAACGGTAACTCCATTGAAATGATTCAAAACTAAAGTAACGAGCCAATTTTTTAAAATGTAAGGAGTAGAAAGTACAGATATTTGTGTAAAAATGTAAGGAGTAGAAGTAAAAAGTCGCCATTAAAAATAAGTAGTAAAGTAAAAATATCAGAAAAATCTACTTGAGTACAGTAACGAAGTATTTGTACTTCGTTACTTCCCATCTCTGGGTATAATACACAACCATCAGCTCTTTGTGTCTCATAGAAGTAGTACCTTATAAAACCTGAATCATTGTCTGCGTTTTGCTGTAAAAGACTCAGGATTTTAGGCCAGGCTGAATGTCTTTGGAGATGCCATCGAGCTAATGAAAGGGGGAAAAATAAAATCAAGTAGAGGAAGGTCTGTCTCATGGGGTTTCTATTGCCTCACAAGATTTTTTCCAACTAGTCTGCTTGTTTATTTTTCCTTTTTTTCCTCTGCTACAGAAATATAACTAATTCTGTTAGGATGTGCATGAGGATGCAACAAAATAATCAACCTATGATTAATTGTTAATTTATGTTTTATTTGGTTAAAATCGGCTCTATCCGATTAACTGATAACTTTATTTTAGACCTTTTTTTAGTTAGTATGGTGGCCTTTTAGAAGAGGGCACCACTGTTCATCCTTAAGAAGAGCCAGACCAGCATAGTTGTAAGAGGAATAATCATACTGGAGTCATGTCAGAACAGAAACGTTAAATGATATTTTACACCGTTTACTGGTGACAAAAGATGCTGTATACATTTTATGGAGATTGATTTGAAAATGAGCCCATTTAGCCTTTCTGCATGGTAGAGCAGCATTGCATTCTCAATAAAAAAAATACAGATGCGTTTTCAAAGGAGGGAAGCAATAAAAGAAAAGGAGAGAGATTTTGCCAAAAAAAAAAAAACATGATACCAATAAGCACTGTTGACTGTAAAAGCCTTTGTGAGTTAATGCATACACAGATCCAAGTTTAGACATTCCATCAGATTAACCATAACCGTCTGTTTTGAAGTAGGGCTAAAAGTCACAAAGCACAAAGCTGAGCGAGGCAAACGTGGCGAATTTAAGGAGGCAAATTTGGCAAACTCTGCAAAATTTGATCGCCTCCTCCCCTGCGAATTAAGTGGAGGTGTTGAAAAATCTGAATTTTTGTTTACATTTGCATTGCGAAATCCAATAAGGAAATAGATGTGGCTGTGAGCTACAGTAAAGCAGGCAGCGGAGCTTTTTTAAATTACAATAGAAGACAGAAAATATTGCTGACAAAGGATGAAGTGGAAATGCTCTTACAGTTGGTTATAGTGGCTTTACAAAAATTCTTAGAAGGATAAACGGCACTGGAGGTTAAAGTGCTATATCCAGCACAGACACTGGTCATCCGTTGCCTTCTCTTCCGATGTCGCCTGCTGTCGGTTCAAGGAAGCTTCTCTGATAATCCATCCGTAGCCTCAGCTAGCTCTTTCTTTCTGGCGGGCTTCTCCCCACCTTCAGCATTCTGTCTACCTGGTGTACTTATCTGTGCTCCTGCTGTGTTCCACAACAGTTAGCCTCTGAGCTAGCTGCTGCTAACTGTAGCCTTTCCCTGCTGGCACTGTTTTCCCGGCGGGCTTCTCCACTCCCTTCCTGAGATGGCAGCGGCTAGCCACTACCTTCACTCCCCGCTCTGGTGCGCTGACTCTGGTGGGTTCCTCTGATCTCCCACTGTGGTTCCTTAGTTCAAAAGGGTTGATGGCTGGCAGCTGTGCCAGTCTTGGTTCTCTCTCTCTGCCAGTGTTCTCAAACTAATTTCTTATGCTCTGGAAATTGAACCCAGAAATGCAAACGGCTTTCTTTGCCTTTCAAAAGTAAAACAAAAATTGCCGGTGGCTTTGTAAATCCATGTACGCCATGATGAGGTTAAACCAACAGCCATCAACCTTTGGCTTTACTGGCCAGACAGATTTTGAGGCAATTAGTAGCAGGCAAAACTGCCAAAATGTTCACTGGTTTCACATTATCTGAACACACCTTTAGAAAACAGTGTGAAATCGGCCCAGATCAAATGATATAATGTCAGATCTTCATGAAAGAAACATATCATAACTACACTTCCCAGCATGCATTTTACCACTTAAGTGATTAAAGCAATGCCTAACTGCTCTTCTGTGCTATGGTCAATGTCTGATGCTGTATGCAGCTCATGCTGAATATGAAATCACCTCTAAACAAGTGGATTAAGTCACAGCTTGTTGGCAGGTTTGACTCCCACCTTTTAACACCCTTTTTCGTAGAAGCAGCTCACCACAGTAATCTGACTGGACGGCCAGTCTGATCTTCCAGACTTCCAACCAGAAACGAAACTAAACTAAACTAAACTAAGATCTTTGCATTAAAGGAACAGTCCACCACCCAATGGCAGAAACACCACAGAGGATATGTCAAGGACATGTGAAATAAATTCTTGTTTTCTCTTTAAGTTAACTAATCAGGCTCATCATAGTTTTCCTTTTGACCAAAGGATGGAAAGGATCACCACTCTATCGCTGGAATTGGTTTTGGATGCATTAGGCAGAAATCCACTTCTTTCTGACTCAGGAAGACGAAACCAAGTAAAAATGTGTTTGCTTTGCCACGTTACACACAGCATATTGTTTTGTAGCCTAGGCAGGGTGAATATTTCAGAACTAGCCTTTTGTGCTAAATTTTACCCAGGTTTTAGCAGTTTTGTCTTTTTAATGTGATATTTTATTCATTTTTCTGTAGAGCACTTTGGTCAGTTGTGGGTATTTTATAAGTGCTTAACAAATAAAATTGTATTGGAAGTAAGGGATATCTTGATAAACCAAGCAGGAATTTGGGTTTAACGTAGCTATGTTGTATTTCAAAAGACATAGAAGTTCATTTTGTGTGACAAAGTATATTATCTCAACTTTAATTGCAGTTTTTGCTGCTCTCTCCTGATATTGTGCTTGTCTAAGGTCCTCCTCGACTCTGCCCCTCAACAATTTCTTGGTACTTTCAAAGCCCCCCCTCGGATCAGGACCTTTTGTATCTGCGAAAATGTGGCTGCAAAAAACAAAAAAATTGGGTAAAATTTGTCGAACTAGTTGAGGGCTTTTAAAATTCCGGATAATAGCTGAAACTCCCTGCTGTGGAGAAGAGGCTATTAAGTAAGCTATCTTGTACATTTAAATTTTTATATTTATCCATATTTTTATCTTAAGTGTATATATTAGTATATTTTTTGCATGCCTTATACCCCAGTGTTTTTAGAGATTTTTATAATTTTATTTACTATTTCATATATGTTTCATGTTGCACGACTGTACCACAAAAATTTCCTAGTTGTGAACCTCTTCACTAACAATGGCAATAAACCCGATTCTGATTCTGATTCTGATTCTGAAGTGATTATGAAAAAGAGTGTTTTAGACCTTTTCCTGACAAATATAGTGATTAGTGCATAGTAATTGTTGTTATCTGGCATAGAAGTACTATCAAAAATAAAGGTTGTACTAACTGCTGTGATAGATAAAAACAATTATTTCCTTTTGTTGGAGAAAGAAGATTGGTTTTCTTATTATTTATTTATTTTTTTACAGAACTTTCTGTTTGCTTTCTTTCACAGAACGTCTCCTTCGACTAGATCTGGAAGAGAGGCGCAAGGAGTATCGTAAAGATTTCACACAGCTGGAGAACATTCCAACTTGGAGAGGGGAAAATAGATGTAAGAGCTGTTTTGTTCTTTTTGAAGAATACTGATCGCCATCTAAGTTGAGAGGTGTTGAAGGGGAAAATGTTGTAGAAGTTTTAAGGTACGAATGCACAGACTGAGTCAGCATCCTGGCCATTTTTTATGGTCTTATGGGGGCCCTTTTTTTGTAAAACCAAGATAAGGAATTAAGTCAGGATTTCATGGCTATCCGGGCCAAATTAAGCCACAAATCTGTTTCACAAAAGCTGTAAAAAGTGGTGTTTCAGAAATTAGCAGGCTAACAGGCAGGTTTACTTGGGTGGCCATATATGTTTAAACAGCAGTGAAACAATGACTTCTTCTGGGATCATTGGTAGGTAGTGGCAAATAGGTTGAGATATTACTGCCATCTATTGTGGCTGCACTGGTAGCCAGAGTATCTGACCAATTGAGTTCAGATTAAAATCCCAGATTCAAAATCTTATTAAAGTTTCCCCATGTTGTAAAGAAATTAAGTCTGAACTATGGGCCCAACAATGAGAAAAAATAAAAATAAAATCCACTTTCACACTTTGGATTTTTTCTAAAGATTCCTTTTTTTTTTTTTTTTTTTTTTTATAAAATCCAAAACCAACAATCTGGTTTTAACATTAAAATGTCAGATTTGTGGGTGATGACTCCTTTAAATATGCTTAATAACCTGTTTGATGTCAACCTCTTTCTGGAATTAATCTCTTTTGCTTCTCTTTGTTACTTCAGCCAAGAACAACGACGGAGATGACGAGGAGCAGACAGGTGGAGGTGGCCTCGGTGATAAAGTGTCTCTCTACAAGGGTGATATCACTGTCCTGGAAGTGGATGCAATAGTCAATGCTGGTAGGAACTTTACTCTAACCAGTTCAGGCTGTTGTTTGGATGGTGAAAGAGCAGCTTCTAAATTGTGTTTTGCTGCCCTCTCCTGGAGAACATCAAGAGCTACAGTTTCCTCAGGTTTCACAGAAGTGTGGATGGATTGTGATTAATGCAATTCAAATAAATCTGACTGGTTTGGCTGTTTTTGATAGTAAATATAAGACTATTTCATCCCATTTTCCTCCATTTGACCTGTTTTGTCACAAAAGAGGAAAAACAGGATTGATAGTGTAACCTTGATTGCATAGTGGCTGTTTTATTCTGAAGGATTGCAGTACCTCTTCCTGGTCCAACTGCAGTTTTTCTTGGATATTTGCAAGTGTTGCAATCTAACTAATGGTATGCATATTGTGTGATATTCAGGCTTAAACTCAAAGTGATTACAAACACTTTTGAGCGGTAAGGTTAATGAAATCTTTTGGATTACATTTAATGAGGATTAAAATGCAGAGAATTCATTAACTTGAAGTTGATAACAAAGATTGAGCATTTAGAAAAATACCAGAGACACTTAAATGTCATGGAAGTTGTTTTGTTTGATCAGCATTTTGACCTTTTACCACAATGTGTTGAAGAGCTGTTATGAATTCAAGCAATTTAGTGTTTGGTTTGAGCCGTGAATAAGCAGAGTGAATATCTGCTGTATAGTTACAGCATGTTTATATTTTTCTGGAAGCCCTTTTAAATTGGATAGAAAGCCAGAAAAATTCAGCTTTTACTCCAAAAGAATACACTGACGGTATTAAAAAATGTATATAATGAACCACTTTTCTCCTGCTATATTTTTTTTATATTTCTCTCCTTTTAAAAGATTCAGTGATAACCCATTTTCAGTGTTCTTCCAGAGGAAATATTTACATGAAAGGTCCAGGTATTTCAAATTTAAATGACTCACGCTAACAGGGATTCTGTGGCAGTTGAAAGAGAAACAGTGCAGGATAGCAAGATGGACTGGAGGTCTCATCCAGCCTGTTTCATCCTAACAAATATATGGCCACAAACAAAAACACACACTCAAAAAGGCAAAGATACAAGCAAAAAAGAAAAATTTGAATAAGAGATTATAAATTTTACAACATAAAAAACAAACGAAAGGCTGTATAGTTGATAAAAACGTATCTTAATGATGGTAATTATTCATTGTGGTGTAATTATTTTAGGGATTATTTGATATAACAGAAACAAGTTTATTTCAGAATAAATTCTTATTTTTTTCTTATGTTTTATGTTTGCATAACTGCTCTAAAATTAATGCCACATGCAATAAAAAAACAAACAAAACAAAAACAATCTACTTAATGTAATAGTGGACATACAGTAGAGAATCAGCAATGCGGCGTTAATTCTAAACAAACTGGTCTCTTCACCTCAACACAACTTTATCACTTTCCTCCAAAACAAATCAAATACATGTTGGGATGAGGTTTTGGTAATAAAGTAATAAAGAATTAATAAAGGTGTCTCCTTACTCTGTTTGATTGCGATGGTAATGCCTTCAATCGAATTAGAAAGTTGACACAGATGCATGTTAGGCTTCAGTGATGTGGAAAAATGTAGGTCTCCTGAAATATTCTGTTCCTCACATTCTACAGCAGATATATATTTTTCAGCAGATGGCTGTGAAGAATGTGCTTTTGTGCAGCGACACACAAATAGGGCTGAAACAATTAGCTTCTTTAGCTGACAAAGCAACCCACTTAGAGCAGTAATTAAACAGAGATTGTAAAAAAAAAAATGTGTAAACATTTTGCATTTAAGATAAAAAATACTTTTTTCATTTGTCAATATGCTCTATCCAGAACTCCTCAAGAGGAAAAGATTTATTTTCACCTGGTTTAATGTTGTAAAAAGTCTTCTTTAAGGAATTTTTGGCTATCTGATAATTAATCGATTAATTGAAAAAGTAATCGACAGATTAATCTATTTGCAAAATAATCGTTAGTTGCAGCTCTACACACACAACCCATGTGATCCAACAGTGCATTTAGTGCAACCAGGAAAATGAATTTCTCACATCGCATTAACTTTGATTAGTTTCTGAAGGTCTACTTGAACATGAAGTCACTTCTGTCTTTCAGTGCACAATAAAATAACGATTGCATGTGATTAATTTCACTTTGTGACATCATCCTCAATTTAAGGATGCCTTCTGTGACAAGCAAAAATAAGTAGATTCATTCAGTTTTCATCAAGTTAAAATGAACTTTCTAATGTGCACATTTTTCATATTATCTATACAGTATTGTATTCTCTAAGTACAGAAAACCATAATGCTGAGTCATCAGGATATGTTTAGATAGATCCAATAGATGCAAATTGTTTCTGTCTTCAGTCCTTGCATCCACACAATATTATCACTTTAAGACTGAAAATGAACTGAAAATGCTTAAAAATGTCCAGAAGATGCCAGAATTTTTCTTTTCAGTCTAATGTTAATTGTAATGGTAAACATTGGTACTACGGCCTGGAAAGTACAGGCTGTGGCTCCAGAGTGAATATTCTGTGCTTTCTCTTTCACCGGTTAAAGTTTCAGTGCAGGCAGGCAGCTTAGCTCATCAGTTAATGCTGCCAAACATTCAAGCAGTGATTAAGCTCCATTGTGGCCGGGAGGCAATCCGTTCTGTTTAGCGGACCATCACGGGGTCTGAAAGGTTCAAAGGGTTTCTCTGGGCTTTTATGATTTTTGAGAATTTGTCTCCCTGATACACTTTTCTCTCTGGCAGTCTACTTGCTTTTGCACAGGTGGTACGACTGATAGGAACAAAAAAGTGCTAAACTTTGCTCTCCTGGTTTACTTACTTTCTCAGTGAGTCTTGCACTGCAGTTCAGTGCAGATAATTTGCATGTGAATAAAATATTTTATGCTTTTTCTTTCTCTCATTGACAATAATACACATTTATTCCAACTAATGGGTGAGTTTTATAAATGATGCATATGCTGCCATACGGCTTTAGAGCTTTTCAGCCATAGAACAGCATGCCTGACTCCTCGACTTTCATCTGTTCATTGCTGCTAATATTTATCCAGCAGTATTTTCATTCTGTCATGCTGTTTTTCATTTAGGCTTCCCACCGGTAGTCTGTGGATAAATTATTGGACTCTTGGAGCCTGATTGACTCAGCATGACCTTTTTTTCTCAAATTGCATGTAAAATTTATATTCTCCTTTTTTAAAATAAGGCAAGATGTTGTTCATTTTATAAATATTTAAGTCTTCTGTAAATTAGGTTTTTCTGGTTTGGTCTGCTGCTGCTGGGAAATTCTTTACAATTTTTGTGGAAATACTTTTGTCACATTGAAATATTGAATATGTGGTTTGCTAAGTAGTGAAGGAGTTCCTTCTCTCTTAGTGTTGCAGACATGGTTTCTGCTTTAAGTGGGTCTTGGACTGCTTTACATCCACCATTAAAATTTAATTACCAGGTTAAATTAGTTTTTAACTCTTCTTTGATTTTGTTTGGCTGGTGGTGACACAAGAGGAGCTCCCACTGTCACCTGGATGATACCTAAAGAAAGCAGGACCGCTGATAAACTGAAGCGCAGTGTCCTTATTGAGTCTGTACTATCCTGTCTTTATTGGCTTATTGTATAGAACAAGACTCCTGCAGAGCTTTAAGTGGTACCAGAGTTATTTTGGGTGCAGGATAATTGCATTGGAAAACAGTCTGGTTAAGAAGAAAAAGGAGAACCCTCAGTATTCATATATTTCTATAAAAAGGCTTCTAAGAACTTCTGTTTTATTATTTAAATTTTCAGCAAAAGAGCAGATTGTAGTTACTCTTTATGGGGCACAGGTCAAAATGTTAAGCTGAGAGTGTTTTTGCACGACAAGGAAAGACCTTATTACTTTTGTTACATTTAAAAAGTGTGTATTTTGATGGCAATAATTAAGGTCAATGTAATTAAAAACGGCCACTTAATCTAACAGTGTTAAAAAAAAAAACTTTTTAAATAAGAAATCAATGAAAAACACTCACTGAGTGAAAAAGGCAGATATATTTAAAAAAACTGCTTTACTTTTCAAATCGCTTTTTTAAAACTTAATTTACAGTAGGTCAAATATGCCAAAATAATGCATACTGAGGGGGGTGGGGGGTTGACCAAAAAATGTTTACTTTCCCTATAAAAGGTAAATGATTTTTTTTTTCCACCCAAAATTTGTTTGCACCTTAAAAGAAGATGATTACCGACTCCACAGAGCAAATAATAATAAAAAAAACCCCGAAAAACTCTTGAAAGTGCTGCCTTCATGGTCAACCAACAGATTTTTAAAATTATTTTACAGATGCAATTTGGAAACATCCACAGGCACAATATCTTCAAATCCTTCATAAACTGCAGCTCGACTAATTGTATATTTCTATCAAACATTCCTCACATTTATTTTGTGTAATATGACATAAGAGCTGCTCCATTTATTTCCATGAACACAAAAAACTTAAAAAAAAAAAAAAAAATGACCAAAACTGTATTCTTTTAAATATATTCCTTTTTTCTAATTTCTTTCAACTGGATGCTAGTATTGACTTAAGTACGACATGAACATAGGACATCAAAACAGATTTTTCGTTAGTGTTTTTATTCATATATGTTAATTGATAGATTTACAGTACATAGGGTGGGGGATGTATTCATGTTTGGCACACTAGAAGAAAATGATATGCTGAAGGGATTTTAACAGCAGGAAACGTGGAGAGGAATAATGAAAATGGAAATCAAACTGCAGCAGTGGTTTTCAAATAATGCATTTTGTGTGGGAGTCAGCGGTGCTAAACATTTCAAAGGGATATAGATTTTTCTATTTAGTTTAAAGAGTTGGTGAGGAATAAATATGTATGGAATAACACTTCTGCCGTACTCACAGTACCTGGCAAAATTGTATGCCAGTTGCATCATCACAGCTCAGTTCTCAATAAAATAAGATGCCAGTGGACCCAGGAGGATTAAAGACTGAACAAAAGAGC